ACTACACTCTTCCACCCCCTCAAAAAGTAAGGAGCCAACAAAACAAAACACGCACACAAAACAAAGACGTAACTTGCTAAATTTCATTTGTATTTTGTCCAGGCTTGGACCTGTAGAATTTTGCTTTTAGTCTAACCAACGTAGCTGTGTAGCTATGATGGTATCACTCCCATTGTCTTACTGTCCTTGCTGAAACTCTTGCTTATCTGAGCCAAGCTATCAGTAGCTGCTGTTCAGCTGTCTCATAACCTTGGTAGCTCTAAAGCATTTGTGCTGATCACGGAGCCACGTGCATGGCTTCTTTTCTAAGGGAGTGGATGCTTGGCATTTTTTGGGCAGTAACTTCTACGGGATGCCCAAAAACACACTGACTCATGGTGAGTTCAGCCCGTGGAGCCCATCCCACTGCCTGTGATTATGGTGAGGAAACAAACAGGGTGACGGCCCAGTGCATCACACCTCTGGGCTGGGAACTGGGGCAGCAGCTGCGGATAGGAGGAGCATCAGAAATGAGCTATTTGTAGCTATTGCTCCATCCATTTACCCAAAGGGAAAGGGAAATCCAACTTTCAGAAATCAAAATGAGGTTTGTGAAATGGCTAGGGATGAACACTTTGGAATTTGAGCTCTTCCCTCTTCTTTTTTCTGTGAAAATAAAGGAGGTGCAACGTGCTCACAGTGCAGCCTCTGCCAGAGATGACGACGGTGCTGGGTGAGCTCTGCCGTGGGAATCCAGTCCCTGAGAGCTGGGCTGACCCTGCTGGGCTGCCGTTTGCTGTGGTGACTCATTGCAGCCAGCAAGGTCACAGCTGATCCTCTGCCCCTTCTGCCTCCCTCCATCACACCTTACACATGGTGCGTGGCATTCTGTCAGCTGGTTGCAGTGACTGCAGGCCCCTGTGTTTAGAGGAAATGAACAAGCAGCCAGGTGGTCATTAGTCCAGGACCTGTACTGCATGTCACTTTTCTGCCTGCAGCATCCAGCAAAAAAGACATGGTTTTTGCAAGGCCTGGCACCCAGCAAGTGTTCAGGCGTGTGTTTGAATAGGGAGATAAACAAGGTCATCCTCAGAAATCTGCTGTGGTTTCTAATTTTATCCAGTTGAAAATGCCCAGAAGGCAGAAAGATGTTCAGTGTATGTCGGTAAGTAGGTCTTGGTTATTCATCAGAGTAAATGTTTTTTCTATTAAGAATAGCTGTTGTGTCTTAGCGCTTCCTTCCATTGTCACAGCTCTTCCTTGAGCAGTGGAAAGGTTTTGGGTGGTTTAAATTACATTTACGGTAGTAATTAGGTTTAAACCACTTTGCAGTTCACTGATCTAAATATACATATGCATAAACAGCGCTGGATCTTTTCCTTTTCTTCCCCAAGCCATGGCAGCACCAAGCAGACAACAGGGCACTGCCTTCTGTTTGCCTTTTGCCTTTGTCCAGTGGCCACGAGCCTCGGGGCAAGGCAGTAAGCTACATGCAAATAATCATTTGGGTTTTGGTTTTTGCAGTGAGTCTTTTTTTTTTTTTTTTTTTTATGGCTTCAACGTTTCAGTTTCTCACAACCAAATTATTATGCACCATTTAAATGTTTGTTTTTTTTCCTTTGAATTTTTTATTTTTTAACATGAGATTAAAAACCATTTGTGTACCCACAATCTCTGCTTAGGATTCATCTGTTTGTGCTGTTTGCCCACCACCCAACATCCTAATCCTCTGTTACAACTCCTAGGCTCAGAAAAGCAGATTATGTGCTCTGACACAGAGCTCGTGGCTCTCGTGTTCTGTTTTAAGCAGGGTCTGACCTGTATGCTGTCGGGTCTGAGCCATCCTCACCATGCGGGGCAGGGAGGGTCAATGGGTGATGCTGCACGTGGTGCTTTGCCTCCATTCTTGCTGGATTGGTATGGGCACACCTAGGGGAGCTGGGGTTTCTTCCCAGTAGCGTGACAAATTGAGTCTTGCACTGAAGGGCCTGAGAACTGCTGTTTCTTGCTGGCTGTTGAGCCAGGAGGTGCTGGTTGGGTCTTGCAGGGCAGAGCAGAGAGCCCATGTGCCTGTTGCACTGTGCTGTGCCCCGGGCCATGGCCTGGGTGCTGCTTCCATGGCAGGCTGGGAGCAAGCTGGGACCTGGGTAATCACACTGCCTTGGTGACTCCAGAAGCTGTAATCTGTTAATCTTAATGGCTCCACGTGATGAGTAGGTAATGCTGTTTGAGTATTTTCTCGGTCTACGATGGAGTGGAGGGGGTTCAAATTACTTCTGAGCTTTCCTAATGTTAAGTATTCCTTGAAAATGAACCTTTCTAGAGGAAAAAAGGAGTTGGGTGGAAGGGGTTTGAGCTACATTCAAATTCTGCACTCTATTTCTGATCGCAGTGCCATTCTCTTGCATTTGATTTTCTAGCTGACAAATCACTTTGGGGATGCCTGGCAAATGAAGTGGTGCCTCAAGGTGCTGAATGCAGGGCCTGGCCACTGTGCTCCATCCAACCCACAGCACTGCCACCGAGCTCTGCTGGGGCTGTGTGCTGGGGCACTGACAGTCCCTGGGATGGCAGAAGGACCTGGAGCCTTTGGGTCTCCAGACATCACTTGTTTTGCCCAGCTGAAATTCCTCACTGTCTGAAAATGTGGGGGGGTTATTTTACCCTCTCCTTTTTGGTCCTGAAATAAAATAAATAAATCAGGCTTCCTGAGCAAGTCAAGACACGTTGGTTTGGCAGGATCCACAGATACCTTCAGAAATAACTCATGCGCTAAAGCCGTGACGTTGGCGGTGCTGGGCTGGTACCGTGATTCATGTGAACAAAGCGAGTGCTGGGAGTGCTGGCATGCCTCTTTGTCTCCGTATTTGAGTGAGATGATCTGGCCCCGGTTGGCCTGGCTCATCTCTAGTGACATCAGGAGGTCTCTCCTGGTGAATTGAGGCTCAAAACCGGAGTTGGGATATTCATCCTGATTGAGTCCATCCTCACTTAGAGACTCGCTGTGCCTCTCTGTTCAATTCCTTCTCCTGTCCTCTCAAACTGGGAAATAAACTTGACGATTATTCCTCTGAAATGCCACAAATAAACCAGACTGGTGTAAATACGCACAAGGCTCCAAGTGGAGAACTGCTGTTGCATGCACCTCATTATCCAATTAGGCCTTACGTTTTCTGCAATGCTTGCTTACTGCTTTATATGAGTAATTAAATGTACTACTAAAGAATTCTGTTTTCATTCTCAATCCTTTAATTTCTGCTTTGCCTTGCAACAAGCCTGGCTGAATTACTGCTGTTGCTTTAGGAACCTGTGACGATGCAGTTAACTCATACCTGTGACTGTCTCAGTCTGTCTGAAAATCTAACAAAAAATCAAAGCAGCTGGCTGGAGTTAGCAAAGGAAATGGGATTAGAAGAAAAATGGCTAAGGGATAAAAGAAAGGCAGTTATGGGCTGTTGTGCCCATCTACTTCCAGACCTGGCAGCTTTTGTGTAACCAAGAAGGAACAACCTGAAACACAGCTGCTTGTTTTAGGGCAAGGCGTGCTTGGTGTGAAGCCTTCTGGAGCCACACATGCTCACAAATGTTTCTGGCTTTGCTGCTGCTTGATCTCTTGTCTCTCAAAAGCTGGGCCATCTGTGGGGTCATATGGAATCATGGATTATCTGAGTTGGAAGGGACCCCTGAGGATCATCATCTCCAACTCCTGACTCTATAGAGGAAAATAAATGTTAAACTATATATCAGAGAGCATTGTTCAAACGCTTTTCTTTAGTCAGGAGACAATGTCCAACAGAAAATGTCTATTTTAATGTATATACAGTGCCTTATGCTTCTGCCAGGTGTAGCTCTACAGTCTTGTCTACTTGACTGAAAGCATGAGAGCAGCTTTGAAGGTGTTTAGTATGTTAGTAAGGTCTTTAGTGTTGGATGTGTTCTGATAACATGCTGCCTACGTATGATTCAGAGCTACTGTGAAAGCTCATGGATGGGCTTTCTTTCTAAGTGTGGATTTCCCAAGCTGAGACTCTTCCAGGCTGACATGTTCAATTGTTTGTCTTGGTTTGGGCCATACATAGGGAAGCTACATGGATAACCTGGACTATGAACCTGATCCCTGATGATACTCATTAGGAATGTAAGATAGAATGTAAATGCAAGGACTGTGGAACTGCTGGGGTAGCTCAGCTGTCTGGGATAATCCTTCCCTAAAATGAGTCTGTCTGAAGGGACGGGGGTGGATCCGATGGGATTTCGGGCATTTGGGTTGTGTTACTTGTGGGACAAATAGGGTGCAAGGTGGGGTTCCAGTGGCTAGGCTAATGCCGCGGCTGGGAGTAGGGCTGTATTAATGGGTAGGAAGAAACTGAGATTGCTTCTTTGCATATTTTCATGAAGGATTGTCTCCAAAATAGCTGCTGCTGCCCTTTTAAGCCATTGCAGGCAAAGCAGGCTGACCCATAGATCCAGTCTTACCGGAGCATTGGAAACGAGTGAAGTTATTACCTGTGCCAAAGAAACTTTGCATGTCTTCGTTAAGGAAACTTTAAACAAATGACTTATTTGTAACTTTGACTTCAGGATGGAGAAGAATAAATGTTAAAGGAAAGGGAAGTTACAGGAATACTGTGAGAGGAGATTTGTGGGGAGAATGGGAACAGTAGAAAGAGGATAAGACCTATTAGGTACAGCAGAGAGATGGGGGGGTGTGCTTGTTTTAACCCTTTGCCTGCTCACATACTACTTGTTGGTGAGGTGCTAAAGAAGAATCTGGATCTTACAGAATGCTTTCTGTAGGTGTCATGGGTTTATGCTGCTCTTTCAACGCCAGTGCCTTCCATAAAACTGTGTCTTACTCAGTGCCAAACGATGGCAGGGTATGCTGGATTTGCTTTTTTAATAAGTGCTCTTTTTTGTGGTGGTTGTTGCTCAGCGTGTTTTGTTTTGCTTTGCTGCCTCCCTCCCTCCCCATTCCCTGCCAGATACTTTGGTTTTCTTCTGTCTCCAGAGAAGTAAGATTTTGAGGAGCAAATACACCGACTCCTCCTCCCCAGCGCTGCCTTTGGGAGTTAGTTTTTCGCAGAGCTGAGACTCAGTGATTATTGAGCAAGCTTCAGCTTGGGCTCAGGCTTGGAATAGCTCCTTGCTATTCTCCAGTCGTGCTGAGTGCTGGACGCTGGCCTCGTGCCTCGTCCTTCAGCTGTGTTCCAGGCTCGGAGCTCAGCCCTGGCAGGGCTGCCTTGAAGTCCCAGGTGTATTTACGGTGACTCCTGCTCCATCCTGGGGAGGGCGGATGGGGAGGGGGAGGAGAGGATGTGTGCAGGTACCCAATCAGCTGCACACCTGCCCGGTGACGAGGAGCAGCCCTTGGCAGTTGGATGCAGGCTCCTTGGCTCGGCGGCAGCGCTTGGTGCGGTGCGGATGGGCTGACTGCCTCCCCCTCCCCACCGAACATGGACAAGCTCGGCAAGAGGAGCTCAGGGTTTGTCAGGACCCGCATCCCGCGGCCCCAAGTGGTGCTGCAGCCGATGCAGCCGGCACGCTGCTCCTGCAGGTACGGGCTTTGGGCTGGGGCACGGCTCCGTGCGTGTTCACTGCATCCAGAAGGCAGGGGGGAGGTAAGGGCAGAGACCTGTGGCAGGGGAGATGGAAAGGAGGTAAATTTCCAGAAGCGATCGGGTTGTAATATTTTCTCTTAAACTGTGCTTCAACTGCCTTGATTGTGAATATCGAATGTACTGAATTGTCCTGTTTTGTATAAACCTGATAGTTTTGGCCGTTGGTGTCAATGCAGCAAAGTGGGGGTGGGAGCTGCAGGAGCGTGTGTGTGTTTGTGTTGGGGGTGGTGCTGCAGGGGCTGCAGTGAGCATCGTGTGCATCTTCTAAGGTGGCAGTGAAGGTGCCGTAGCAACGTGTGCGCTTTGAAGCCTTTCTGGTGACTTAAAGAGCTGTGGGAAGGTCAGAACTGCTTAGTTACAAATAATCTGCAAAACTTGTGTGCTGAGAGGTACGACTGCAAATGGAGTGATTTCACTTTACAAACACCCTTCTCTCTGTGCTTACTGGACATCAGCTTTAAGACTGCATCTGAAGTCTGTTTGCATCGTTTTAAAAATTGCACCAAGTTTCTGAATGTCTCTCTGCTGCACTAATGGACACGTGTTGCTTTTGTGTGAATGCAGCTCCTGCACCCCCCTCTGTGTCCCTCTCTTCCTTCTTGCTTTTCCTGGCCTGTTCTGGCTGTGTGTGTAGGAGCAAGAAAGGGCAGCTTGAAAAGATCCTGGGCAAAGTTTGTGATTAAGAAAAATAATAAATATTGAGGGGAACAACATAACAATAATAAATTACTTAAATTTATCTATACGTAAGAGAACTAGACTTACACTTGAAGACTATTGCAGGGTTTCTTTCTCCTGGAACAACTTCAGTTTTATGCCAAGCAAGCTGGATTTGTCCCAGTGCTGTGTACTGGTGCCAGAGTACCTCTGTGGTCAGATCTGAGGAGATGCAACAGTGGAACACCCCGTTTGCTCACTAGATTTGACCAGGACGTTTAACTTCTAACCAGTGGCACTTTGCATCCGTTCACCCAGCCCTAACAACAAGTGAGATACGTCCCAAGTTTACCCACACTCCTGCAGTGGCACAGATGTGACATATGCCTGTACGATGAGGTGGTTGTGAAATGGCGCACGGAACATCCTCGTGGTCTGATTAATTGCCTTTAACGACTGTTTCAGCAGCAGTCACTGTGGGATGCTCACTGCCTTCCCATTCAGAGAATACAGTGTTGTCACATCCCCGAAGATCTCCTGACAGAAAGCAGCTGCGGCTCCAGCATTTCCCATCTTAGTGCTCCTGGTGGTCCAGCATAGCACAGTGTGGGTGCAGGCTTTGCAGGCAGTACCCAGCTTGCTGCTGCTGTGGGGGTTCCCTGCCCTCAGCAGCTGCTGCAGATCCACTCCCAGCTTGGCGGCTGTTCTTGGCAGGCTTGCTTTCTGCACAGCCAGCGTTTCTTCCTCTCACTACTTGGCCTCCATTTAAGTGCTATTTATAGGTCATCAGCGAGTGGAGCCTTTTCATGGCAATGTAAGCAGTTCATCTTATGCATTATAACTCCTGTGAGAAATCCAAGCGAGGGCTTTGTATCTGGTTTTCCCATGTTCCAGCACCCCTAGGCTTCTTATGGACAAAGTGTAGCTCGATTCTCATCCCCCCTTGTTCTGTGCTGGCTGGCATGTTACTCTTGTCTCCTCTTTGTAGTCCCTTGCCTGTTCTCAAATACTGGAACAACACATTATGATTGCTCATTCTTTGCTCTAGTGTAGGCACAGCTGGTTAGGATAGGCTATGTTAAGTTCAACATTAATGCAGTTGTAAGAAGTTTGGATAAATCTGTGCTTTTGTAAAAACTCCTTGTTTGAGTGAGAAATCTCAAAAACAAGTTGAGAATGTCTTTTATCAAGGATCCAGACATGCTCTGAAAGCTACTTGGCCACCATCCTGCTCTTCCCTGAACATGGGAAGCTGAGGTGTACAAGTTGAGCATCTTGTCTAAAGTCACAGGCGACAGGAGTAAAGGAAGTGCATCTCATCTGATGTAAGGCAGCAGACACGTGTTTTGAGGATGGCTTTGGTAACTGGGAGGCAGTGACTCATTGGAAGCTTGCTGAAGTCCCTGGCACTGCAGGGATGTGACAGACAAGTCACTAACGGGCATGAGTAGCCTCTTAGTTAATGAATTTCACCTAAATGTACAACAGATCAGTCCAAAATGGCATTGAGCACTGCAGTGCTGCTAGCTGTTGTTCTGCCCGTGCCCCTTTCTGTCAGCAGGATGCCCATGCAATGAAATCCTTTCCTGTTTGGGGCACCTTGCTGGGGCAGGGAAAGTGAGCAGTGGGCAGGGACCACTATAAGACCTTATGGGGAGACAAAAAACTGAGGGCATGGCTTGTGGCTTCTGAGGCCAAGGCAAATCTGAACATGATGGAGCAGGCAGCCAGCTGATAGACTGAACTAAATGTGGCTTCAGGTATTTTTGATTTGTCTGTATCTGCACGGGCTTATCAATCCCATGTTTGTTCTGCTCTCACTTTCGGGCTAAGAGACCTCCAGGCAAATCTGTAATTACAGGCAAATTTTGCTCTTCCTTGGCTTGCTTATTTAGACACCCACCAGGGAGAGTGGAGATAAGCCTGTTTCAGATTGATGGCCTGGTTGTGTGTGTTGAGATGGAGTTTCTTTGCTCTTAAGTACTTATTTTCAGGCAAACTGCAACCTGTGCTTTATTCAAAACTTGTGGTGCTGTGTTGGATGTTATTTCAAGAGCTGAAGCCCAGCACAAGGCACGCTGAGGATGCAGTACTAAAGCAGTGCCTTACACAAAAGCCCCAATACTGAAGGATTTCAGTCCCTTCAGTGCTGGGCAGATAATCATTGTTTCGTCTCTCTGGTATCACTTGGGATGTCTGGACAGAAGCTGGGGAGTGGCTGTATTGTTGTTGTGGTGGGGGAAAGCTGGACCTGCTCTTGGTGACTCCTCCACGTATGCAGACCATCCGGCATGTCCTCGTTATCGCTTGCAGAACAGGCTCCTCCAAAACAACCTGAAGTGACACTGCTCCCAGAGCTGCTTGCATAATGGAAGATCTTGATGAACTGATTGCTGTGTTAATGAAAACAAGCTGTAATCTTATTAGTAAATTGTAATAGTGACATCTTAACTATTCTCACTTGCGCTGTAGATACCTTCAAGTATGTCAGCCCTCGGATAGGAAGTCCTTGCTGAAAGGCCTTAGGACAAACACAGGGGGGGTTTGGCAGCAGCACAAAGTGGGCTGGGGACTACAGCTTTGTGTGGGGATTCCCTCTGAGATGGGCTGTGTGTCAGTGACAGCTGTATGAGCAAATCCCCCATGGTCAGAGATGCACAAAGATACGCCAGCAGTGGCGGTCTGCTTCTGAGATCACTTTGATTCTGGTTCTTCTAAGCCTTAGCTTAGTTAAGCTAGTGAAAGTAAAGCATGCTGGGTGTTTATTTCTGTTCATCATTGCCACAGTAATTTGATAATTAGTCTGTCTTTACTTTTCTGGTCTGCTCTAAGAAGCTTGAATAGCATTCCAACGTTGCTCTTCCACTCCACAGATGGAGGGGATGAAGCAAGTTGGCAGCTTGTGCTGGAGACTGCCTACAGAGCCTTGGGGACTGAAAGGATGAGAATCGGTCTTTAGAGTTGGACTTTAAAGATTTGCAACTTTTGTGTGACTTCTGAACTGATTCTCTTCTGTTTGTAGAAAAGTTATGGAGCTTGTGCCCACCAGACATCTCTTGTGTTCTATTTGCTATCTGGAAATTGTAATTCTGAATGGCATAGCTAATTCTGCATGCTTCATCTGAGGTTTTGACAACTACACTGATATCTTTCAGCCAGGTTCCATTATCGTATTAATATTTATCTTTTTGAAGGAAAGACCAAGATTTGAACTTTCAGTTCTTTAAGTAAGATCTATCTAAGCATACTGATCTATAAGACTTGTGGATTTTCTGTTTTATTTCACATGCTCCTGTGTGTTGTTTCTTAATACCTTTATCCTACTGCTTGACTTTAAACAAGAAAATCTGTCACATTGTGAACTGTGATGGTCTGACCTTCTGAGTTCTTCAGCTGGATTTAAACTGCTTGCTCAGGAACTTGCAAGCAAATTAAAGAGGGGCTTTTTCCTGCACGTGCATGCTTTCTGGTTTCCTTTTGTTTCCTTTAATCCTGTGTTCCTTGATTGTTTTTGACCTTGCAGTAAATTGAGAGCTGGTAAGATGTGCATGTTTTCTGACATTAACATATTTTTGTTCTCCAACTCAGTTTTTTTTATCTGTCGAAGTATTGCAGCAGTTGATAAAATAATTTCTCACTTTTTTTCCTTTCCAAAGAGTTTGTGTTTGGTGCCAGGGATCTGAAGTGCACTGGTGTGACTTGGTGTGCTGTTTCTGACTTGCTCTTGAGATTAATTCAGACTCCTTCCATCTGTTTCTTTGTTTCATGTGTGTCTTTGTTCGTACTCCAAATCTTTGGAAATGTCCTTAAAACTTGGTGCTTGCGTGCCTCATATAAACCTAATCCAGTCCATGTTGCCTTTTTTTCACCCGAGCTTTTTCTGCAAACATTATGAAAGGAATTCCATTTTCTTCACTTGTCACCTTCTGTTTTGTGTGAAATACTTAGAAAGATCCCTCTCTATTTGTTCGTCTGCTTGGAGGTATTTCAGTGAGGGAAGGAGGTTGAGCAGTCAGTAAAGTAGCCTAGGCAGCCACAGATCTTAGAACAGGTCTCTGACGGGCGTGATTCAACCCTGGAATGAGCAAATGCATAGCAACAGTGTTTATTTTATTTTGATATTCAAGAGGGCCAAGAGTTGCATGAGTGTTTACAGTATATTTGCAGTGTGTTGACAGTATCTAGGAACAGATCGAAACCTACCCTGAAATTTCATATTGTAGTCCAGGACTGGTGAGCCACTGACACTCAGTTGGCCTTTATTAAGGGCTACCTCTATTCCAAGTGTTAGAGATTCGGATTTGGAGATGAAATGAGAAAACGTACCATAGGAGCTCAGTGCCAGTCTAGATTCATGTCCTGTAACTGCTGGTAATGTTGTTAAATCAGGGGTAGGTGTCTCAGGTGAGGCAGCTGAATGCATTCGCAGCCCCGCTGCAATTAGTGCCCTCCAACAAGAGCAGGGTATTGCACTGGGATGGTCGGTCCTCCCAGAGTCGTTCCTTTATGGGTGCCCTTAGCTGGATCTTTCTATCCAGTTCATTTTTTGCTGGGTTAATTTTTAAAACTTTATAATGTTTTCTTTCTTTCTTTTCTTTTTTTTTTTTCTGCATTTGCAGTGCATCTGAATGAACTTGATTATTCCACTTACTCTTTGCCCAGTTGCAACTGAGCGATTAACCTTTTAAGCCAACAATCTACACTTTAAATCTAAACTGTTGCTATGCTTATACGTCATAGGTTGCCCTCCGTTGACTTGGGAATGCAATGAGGAAGAACGATCTCTTAGGTGCACTGAATCTCACATGAACCTTCCACTTGGTTGGCTGGGTCTGTAAAGCAGAGTGTTCAGGGAAAAAAAAAACAAAAAAACCACAGACCAGAAAATAAGGCATTTTCTAAATTTTAAGGCCTGATGTTTTCTTTATGTTGGTCTTTAAGACTGGAATGGTAGTGTTAGCTGGGCTTTGGATTCTGGTAATGCTGTGTAGAGCTGCTTTGTGAGATTAGCATCCTGCACGTTGGTGAAATAGAGTTCAGTGCATCGCTCCACAGAGATGTTGAGAAAAAAAGTTAAGATGGCTTTTGGGTTATTCAACCTACAGGTAGTTCAGATATGGCTCTCCTGTAAGAGGTACAGCATGTGGTTAGCAGGGGGGCTTCTGTGTGCAGGAACTGCCAGGTGATGTGAATTCCCAGCAGTGGAAGGAAGGAAGTTAACAGTGGATAGTACAGGAGCACAGGATGGAGAGGACAGGAGTGCTTACAGCAATTCACTGTGGCCTAACAAAACTGTCCTTGGACCAGTATTACGTTGTGCTGATATGGACAGAAAGTGCTGGTAGATCAGAAACAGCTGGTGGGAGGCAAAAGTATCACCTCATGATCTATGCTCTAAGGATGCTGGGACCCTTCTCAGAAGTACACCATGAATCTGTCCTAATGCTTGCCATAAGTGTGACTCCACTCAGTCAAAGCAGTGCCTGGGTTAAGCCATGCCCAACATGGCTTACAGTATTGGTAGGTTTTTTGGTTTTTTTATTTTTTTTCCAGGCAGACCTGTGGCAGTTGCAGGAAGGCAGTGCCACAGCTACGTGTGCTGCAGGCTTCCTGCTGAGCAGGCACTTGATGAAAGCTGCTGCTTGGTTCTCAGGCAGGTTCTGCCAACCTGGATGTCAATTCTGCTTTGGCCTGAAACCATGGAGATCTCTGGGATGCTAGACGAGCCTGCTCTAAATGAAGGGAAGAGCATGAAGGGAAAGCACTATATGCAGTTACTTAAATCTATAAGATCACACCCACTATGGTGTAGTGCAGCATCTTATGACAGGAAGTAGTTATGTGTCTGCTAAATGCTCTTAGCAGAACAATTAGGGCAGCCTGTGAGGCAGTTGCTTAGCCTGCTCAGTGTTATGCCCCGAGAGACTGACTGCTCTTCAGTGCAAATTTGGCTGCCATGGTGCTTCTGGAATTGATACTGGCCAAAACCAGGTTCCTTGATACGATCAAAAATCCTCCTTCTAATCTCATGTTGCAAGTGGTGATTTCTCTTGACTGTCATGTAATAACATTCTAATGGGATATCATGGCAATGTTACATTGAAATGGGCTTTTTGGTGGTGGCAAGGTGACTTTGTTTAAACCTGATCTTCTTCAGGGAAGGCTGTCAGCCTACGCAAGGAGACACAGAGGAGTATTAAAGATGAAGAGTTAATACAAGCTAAGTGATCTAAAGTTTTGATTCCTAATCTTAACTGTAATCATCTTCAAACTCTTTATCCTAATGGATAAGATTCAGGTGGAAACTTGAAAGGGAAAATCGTTATTTGGGATGGTAGCTGTATTAGAACTGGGAAAAAACAGTTGTGAACTATGAGGGTTAAAAAGAAATAAAAATCTTGGTTGGAATATTGAAGTGCTCTCCCAGGCTGTGGAGTGGAATCTCAGCTGCAAGGCTGTCATTTGATACCCAGGAGCGGGAGGGGAAAAAAGATGAGGATGGATAATAAGCAAATGGGGCACCTCTGCCATCGTCAGAGCTGGGTGTGTGATGTAAGTGCTCTTTTCAATCTTTAACTTTTGTGTCCCTGTAAAACAAACAGAAGACTTCTTAGTTGTGTTCTCAGTGCTGTTGCTGGCTCCAGATGTTCCCGCAGTGATGGTTATCGCTTTTGGTTTGACCTTTAGAATAGAGAGACTTACATGCTTGTAAGAAAAATGTAGGCACAGTCTGCAAGCACACGTGTAACCAGAAGCACAGATTATCTTACAACACGTGCCGTCCAGTTGTTTGGCCTTCAAATTTAGTATTTTAAGACTTGAAATGTTTCTTATAATTTAGTGGCTTTCCAGCACAAAGGGAACTTAAACTTTCCAGGTATTTTGCCACCAGTAACTTCCTTGGTCCTTCTTGAGCTGGGAGGTAAAATTGATTTGGGTGGTGGTGTTGTCATCGTGGTTTTTCAAGGCATAAGGCTTGATCTGTTTTTCTGCCGTGCAACTGGAAAGCAGTTCTGATCTGTGTTTGGTGGCAGTGGCTGTTCATAGATACTCCTGGCAACATTTTTCAAACCAACCAGCATTGCTGTAGTGTGCAATTTCTTGAACTGTGTATCATAGCCATAGAGGGTTTACATAAGTAGGGTATGCTTACCCTTTCCTTTTTTTTTTTTTTCCCCTTGTCTTTTAAAAAGCTGTACAGCAGGATTTAAGTGCGTTACAGCCCTTTGAAGAGAACTTAAATTTGTTTTAGGAGAGGCATTATTTTATTGAATAATGAGAAACTCATGACTTCCTACAGAGAGGCTGAGAGTTTGGCTGAGTCCCAGTCTGGGACTTTGGCTGACCATGAATTAATCAGCAGGATAATAAGAAAATGCTGTACCTTTGTGTTTCTGAGGACTCTTCTACTGCTTTGTAGCCGAAAAATCTGGTCTGGACAGGAAAAATGGGCCTCAAACATCTGAGCTGTTTATTGCATGAGCTGAACTGCAGCGTATGGAGCTGTGTCAGTTTTTGCATATGAAGGACGAGCCTCCCGAGGTGGCTGTGCTGAGGCTGGGAGCTGTCAGACTCACCAGATAAGCAGAGCACGTGTGTGTGAAGCTGGAAATGCCTTGGCTGTGAGTGCAGTGTCTGTGCAAGCTTGTTGGGGGATCCTGGGAGCAGGGCTGGGAATGACGGGAGGTATCTCAGGCTGCAGGAAAACTTGTGCTGTCACTGTGTCCTCCTGCAGGTTGGGGCAGTAGGTGTCTCCCCTCCTCTGGAGGATTTCATCTCAACCTTGTCTGTTATTGCCAAACACTAAAAAAAGAAGTCTAGCACTTACCTCTGTTTGGCTGCAGCCATTTGAAAACGAAGATTGATGTATTGTGAATGCCTACCTGAATCACGGGTATCTTAATCTCTCTTCCTTATCTCTTCCTCTCTCAGTACCAGAAATTGTCCTTGCAAAATGAGCCAGCTTCCTCAGAAGAGCCCTTTGGCTTCCCCGTTGTCAGAGGACATGACTACCAGGGTAGACAACTTGCCAATGGAGAGCTTTTGGCTGGAAGTAGAGAACATTAAACAGAGCACTGAAGCCGAGCAAGAGGAATGCAGCCTTGCAGATGTCAAAACACAAGAGGGTAGGTTGCCAAAAACACTGGGAGTGAGGGGAGGAAGGAAGGTATTCATCTTCAAAAATCCTCTTCTGCACCTGAGTGATTGAAAAACCTGTTGGCACGTGGTTAGAATGTTACCTATCAAACCACAGACGTATCTATATATGGATGTATATTTTTTTCATTGGAAGGTGGTTAATTCCCTACAAAAAGGAGTGCTGGCCTCACCTACTTTCAGTTTCCATTTAAAAAAAAAAAAGAATAAAAAGCTAAAAAGCTGACTCCGAAGATTGGTTTTAAATACATTCAAGGCTCCAGACTTTTTCAAGCAGCTGCCACTAAGTGTGGGTGCTCTTCCTGGGAGGTAGCTGTGTGATGAGCTTTGACAGCCAGCAGCGTTTAGGAGGGGTTGTTTGGTTCTGAGGCTTCACCATAGTGGCTTTTACAGGAGCTGCTGTTGTGGAATACAGATTTCCTCCTGTGATTCATTGTTCAAGGAACCATAATAAACGTCCAGAATTACTTGGGTACATCCACATATGCTGATTTTTATTTTTTTTTAATTCTTTTAAAGACCACTTCTTGTACATTGGATGTTTCTAATGGGTTTTCTGTAGCATTGATGTGATTCCAGAATCCTGAAATAATTGGAATCTGGACCAATTGCCTTCTGACATGAGAAGTATAGCATCCTGTGGTGTTGTAAGAGCAATGAACTATGAGCACCAAGTGGTCCTGTGGATTGGGGTCACACATTGCCTGTGTCCATTCTGGGCTGTGACTGCAGCTGTGGTTCTGACCTGGGGAGGATCCATGTGTGTAATGGGGAAGTGTTTGAGGGGAAGTCCTAGTGTGATGCCCTTGGGAAGGGCAAACATCTACTCTGGGATCATAAAGGGGCCCTGGAGAATGGGGCAGGAAGGTTGTCTGTGTTGACCACATTGAGCAAGGCACTGTGAACTTCAAGCCTCACTGCCATTGTCCCTGCATAAAGGATTTAAGTGCTTTAGAACTGAAGGAGATAAAGAAGTGACTCAGAAACTGAGTGCATCAGGGAGGAGACTCTACAGAAGCAGCCCCATGCCTTTAGATGAAAGGATATCCGAAATACGAATATCCAAAATATGCTAGAGGCAATCTGTTAGGTGCGTGTAAGCAGGGACAGAAGGAAAACTTTCCTTTAATGCTGCGTGTTAATCTCATAGGTAAGAGCTAACTGGTTAATCAGCAGTTGTAACTGGACAGACTCGAAATAACGCTCCGAGTCACGAAGCCTTCCTAGCAGGCTGGGGAAGAAGTGCGGTGTGCTCAGCCTGTGGGCGCCCTTGGAAAGGAGTTCAGTCAAATGTGTGTGGTGCTCAAAGCGTGAATAGTGAGGGGAACCTTCAGGTGTACACGCAGGGAGCCGGGCTTGGCTGGTGCCTTCTTGCTTTCATGTCTTTGCAGTCTCTGGTCGGAGCACTGGCAGGTGGCAGTGCAGCATGGATGCTCTGAGCCGAAGGCACTGCGGCTGTTTGCGTACGGCCTGAGAAGCTGTGCTGGGGCAGCAGCTAGCAGCTCTGTCTGGAGGTGGTAAGGCTCAGTGTGACAAATCCCTGATTGCAATCACAAAAAGGAGATGGCGTGGAGGCTACGTGGAGATAAGGCATTGCAAAAATGCTGACCCAGTTGGAAACGTTGGTCTCCTGCGTGAGCGCTGTCAGGGGTGGCACAGTGGGAAGTTGCCTGTGACCAGTTGTTGGCAGGAGTACAGCCTGGCAGAACTGGGTCAGCAGAAAGGTTTTGGTGTTTGCTGCTTGTGGCCTTCCCTACAAGCAAAAAGGAGCCTTTTCTTTTTTCCAAGAGCAGTGTAGTTCTTCCCTAGCTCTCTGTTCCAGCTGGCTCCATGGTCTGATGGCACAGCAGATTGATAACGTATGCACTGTGTGTGGTGGTGGCACTGAAATATCTGTTGTTACCCTTGTAATGTATAGTCTGAGAAGCATCTGCGAAAACTGATTCTCCTCTTCCTTTGAAAAACAAGTGGGAAGTTTCTCTTAATATTTTGTTTGATGTTGCAGAATGCTTGGCTGTCATTCAGTTTCTCTGAAATGGAACATAATTACTATTACAAATTCTGGTTTTGGTTAGCTCATGTTTCAAATAAGTTCTTGCAAATGGTGTTCTTTAGTTTTGCTTATTTATTCCTAATCGTGTCTCCTCAAATGTTGCTTATCTGGATCTCACAAAGCAAATGTTAACAACCCTCCAGACTTCAATCCGCAGTGAAACTTCTGTGACTTCTCAGTTCAGGCCCGCTCCGCTCTGGCTTTCCTCTTCTCCCCATGAATAACCTATTTTAATTGTTTCCCTTTGTGCTACTGGTAAACATAATCAGGCCAAAAATACTAAGTGGATAAATTAACATCTGAGGTGCTTTGGCATCAGGCGGGGCGTTAGGCTCAAACGGATGTCCGATTTATGGTCTTCTGGTTGGTATTGTGTATTGCATTAGTTTCCTGTTATGACTGGATTTGGATATTCTCAAAACTTGCAAGCAATACACCAACTTCCTGTAGTTCCCGAGGAAAAAATAACTGAGAAGTCTTTTGCACACTGAGCTTCTGTGAAATCACGGAAGTAGGACAAAGATCTGTACAGGGTGAAGTCTTAAACGGGGCCAGGAGTCCAACCCTATGCATGTGTGAGGAGCTGTACCCACCCGAGCAGGACCTGTGGGGATGCTGTCAGCTTCTGTAGAACTGGACATGATAAGTAATCAAAGTTTAAGATTACACAGGAAGGTTAGCCAGGTTGCTGCAGGTCCAGCTGTATTTACAATGGTGTGATGCTGAACAGAGTTCTGCTTTCATGCAACTTGCAAAAAGATGTTGCTTCGCTCAACTCTTTTCAGCCTTCTGAGGATGTTTCCAGGTGCTGTGAAAGAACAGTGGTCTCCCCAGAACAGTTAAATGATTTAATCTCACAGAAAGACCTGTGTGGCTTCATTAGGGATGCAACAATCACGAAATCGTGCTTGAGCAGCTGTGATGGTGGAAGAAATATTTTCCTTCAGGAAGGAAGAGTGGGACCAGAGTATTCCCTTTCAGTCAGTTCACTTGTGATTTTTCTTTTTCCCAGTGTGACTTTAGAGCTGTGCTGGAGCTGCCTGCAGCGAATGAATGTGGTACCCAGAACTGAAAAGGGGCACAGGCCCTCTGGTGTTCACTCTGTAAAAGCTGAAGCCTGTTCCTAAATTGCTTCTTTTATCCCTGGATTTCAAGTATCTGCCTTGCTCAGGGCGCTTTCTCACTTCACAAAAGGCACATCCAGTAAGGGAGGCATCCTTCTGTGTTTGAAGTGCAGCTTTGTATTGAAGAAAGGAGTGAAGCGAGCTTGTTAGAATAAAGCTGCTGTTACTGTCTCCAGGCTTCTCACACTTCACTTTGGAACAGGAATGGTTTTTAATTTTAGTGGTGTTTTGAGTAGACATGGATGTAGAGTGAATGTATGGAGTAAGAATAATACTTCTGCTGTTGTCGAATGACTGTGTGGGTAGCACTGCACTTAAAAGTGTAACACAATAAAGGAGTAGCGATGGTGCATACAAATAAAATAAGATCTTGGAGAACAGCCTTGGCATCCACAGAAGTTGTGACTTCCAGTGATGTCTCGCTGCCCCCTGGGGCTGAGCCTTCTGGTTTGCTGATGTTTCAAGTACTCAAATTGCTTTTCTTTCTCTTCTTGCTCCCCCTCCTCATCCGTGTCCTCACAGAGGGAGAGGCTGAAGCGGAGTGGCTCCAGGACGCGGGGCTCTCAGACCTCATTGGGGACCATGCCTCAGAAAACGACAACGCGCTGCTCTCCACCCTGACAAAGACCCAGGCTGCTGCCGTGCAGCGAAGGTTGGACACCTACTCCCGCTCACGGAGGAGGAAGAACAAACCTCCTGTGAGGGATGTCAGAGACATTTTTGGAGTGGTCGGCTCTGGGGTACGTTGGCTGATTGAGTGGAAGCTCCTGAAAGGCTCTGTTGCCCTGTGGTACCTGCCTCGGCCATCTGGGCCCTGGGCTGCTTTCATTTCCAAGGCTGACAGCTTCATGTTTTATGCTGAAATGGAGCTGAGATTGTGGAATTTCTGCGTCTAGGTTGCAGCACTGTGAAAGAATTACTACAAACAGCACAGATTCATATCTTCTTACAGACCACTGGGAGGCTGCACAGCACCTCCAGCACCACAGCCTTGTGGAGCACTGATGTCATTTGGAGCCCTCTTGTGTTTCCTTCATCCCGGTGATGTTTTATTCCAGTTGCAAGGCTGTCAGTCCCTCAGCTGAAATCCAGCGAGTTTCTAAACTTGCACATTAAATAGAAGCCTGTTGTACTAGGTATCATATAGGCACAGATCTTATATGCCTGCTTGCTAGGTTGCTAATATTTGCACTTAAAAGTCAGAACAACTAAATCCAATCCAATGTTCTGAAGTGACTTTTTGATGCAGCTTATCTACAGATGCTAAATGAACTGGGTGTTCTTTCATGGTGAGCTCATCAGTTGTGTGTCTGCTCTAAGCATACAGTGCACCTTCTCTACAGATCAACTCTTCTGTCCATTTGTGATGACTTATTGCAGGTTTCTTTTAGCTCTCAGTTGTCAGTCAACAACTTCTCTTGTTATGAACTGGTTCATAGAAGGAGTTGCTTTGGTAACAATATATTTCATTGCATTCTGGCTAGCTCCAGTGAAAGCAGGGTTTTTATTAGTAGAGTTGACTGCCAAATGTCTCCTTAAGCGTTTAAAAATGCACTTTAGACCTGAGGAGGTAGGTTACCATAAAGCTTTAATGGGAAGCTTTTAGGTGCTGATGCCTGCTTCTGTGTTCTTTTGCATGAAGGAGATCTTGTGGTTAAAGGCAGTGACCAGCTCCTATGGAATTTGGTTGGTACTTCTAGCCTTGCAGTGCATTAATAAAAGGAAAGAAATCAGAGCAATCTTACAGTCCTGAGTTTGAGCAGCATTTTCATAAAGGTGTCTTTTTGTGTGTGTTTTTGTTTTGTTTTTCCTCCCCAAATCAAATTGTTGTCATAATAACTTCTGTCCTGCCTTGTTTAGATGAGTACGTTGTGGTTTTTACTTTTCAGGAGACGGTAACAGAAAAAGAGGAGCCCAGCCCAGACCTGCTGTTGCACAATCTACGGACTTCAAATGTTCAGAAACGTAAGAAGGAGTTTTTTAGAGTGGAGTAGGATTGAAAGAGAAGCAGGCTCTGAAGCGGAGCTGCAGCTGGAAGAGAAGTTGTACTGTTTGGGCTCTGAACTTGAGCAGCTGTTTCTGTTTTTGAAGACTATTACCATTAAATAACATGTACTAGTTTATATAATGCTGCTTGCTGTGTGGGATTGCAGAAACATTGTGTTTTTCTTTTAAATACATGCTTATCCACAGCTGTGGGTTCAGTAAACTTCTCCAGCACCTGGTGTTGGTAGGAATTATCACTCAAGGTGATGCTAAATCATCAGCAAATCAATTAAAAGATGCAAACAAAATGATTCTGGCAAAGAACAGGTGAAATTCTATGAACAACGTACACAACTGCATAAAGAGAAGTTAATTAAAGGCCATAGGTATGTCCTTTAATTTAAGGCAATACTCGTGTCTTACTGTTGACCTGATGATTATGGCTTTAAAGGAATCTTATTTACCTCGTTGATCAGTCACAAGACTGCGCTATGACAGCACTCTATTCAAATGCTACTATGATCCTTGTTACCAAAAGTGATCGTCCCTGAATCTGTTTAAAACTGCTAATGTAATGCATTTGTTTTCTAAGCTTCACCTTTTAGCTTTTTGAATTTCAAGACATTTTCTCCTCTGTAGCAGAAACCCAGGATTACTCCTGCACAGTTCGAAACCCTGGAAAAGAGGAGGTGTTCAACATGGATGTTGCCTACTCAGAACAAGCAGCTGTCCTGCTCAAGGGCTCATTCTTGACCGAATCTAAGAGAATAAAGGATGGAAATGTGCTAACTGTAAGTATAGGAAGTATAGGAATATTTTTTCGCGTTAAAGCTTTATTAGGTCATTTTGCCTAGAATGGTGCAAGGTGTTTGATTCAATTATATGATTAGATTTTGGGAACGTCCTCTGTGATAGTGTTGCAATGGGTCTCTATTGTCTTACTTGCCAAAGATTTATCTTCTGCAAATACACTGCAGGTTCAAGCCAATAGGAATGGATATTGATCTTTCATTAGTTTAGAAGGCTGGGCTCTGAAATACGTTTAAAGAGTAATGCAAAAGAGGATATGTTTCTCCAGCTGTGGGTTGAGTAGCAGTACAGGTTATTCTGGTTATTTGTCTAGAGCTGAAAATAGGGGAATGTGTAGATAGCTGGTTAGTGGTAAGCAATGGTAAGGATGCAACAAAAGTTGATAATTGGTAGTGCTGCTTGTACTGAACCTTTTGTGTGTGTTTTCCTTTAGAAATTTAAGATCCCCAAGGGCAGACTAGGAGTGACCAGGATTGGAGATCTATCTGCTCAGGACATGAAGAAGATCCCCACGTTGGCCCTTATTGAACTAACAGCTCTTTGTGATGTTCTAGGCTTTGAATTGAAGAGAAACAAGGCAGCAAAATTGAAAACAACAGGTCAGTTGAACGTTGTCTTGAATATTTTCTTTTCCTTCCATTTCGTGCCTTTTTTAACATTGGGGTTGTCTTATAAGTTTGGATTTCAAGTGTTAGAGCAGAGAGGGTGTTTGATAAGAAACCTTGTGACAGTTGTTTTTGCCTTAACCAGTTTCTTCTGGAATTGCTGGGTTGTGCTACCAAGACCTACAGCTCCACATTTACCTCTATCACATCCACTTGTCTATCAACTGTTCTTCTTTTTCTCCAGTGCTCACAAAATGTGCTGTCTTAGTCTGCAGTGCTGGAAGTGTCAGTGACACTATTATTAATGGTGGTACAGACTGAAAACATGTCGTTTCTGTTGTAGAGAAAAGGCTCTTTGGAGTTCCACTCAACACTTTGCTGGAAAATGACCAAAAACTGCTCCCCAACACTAAGGTCCCTCTCTTACTCCAGGCAGTAAGTTTTCTTTCTGTTTCAATTGCAATTCTGATGCTCAGAGCCAGCAAGCCTTTTTAGGCCCTTAATAAGGACGGGCTGACTTCTCATCTTCTGTACCTAAGAGCTTTCTTTTTTCCTCTTTCAATAGCTGCTGTCCTGTTTAGAAAAGAGAGGACTTGAAACAGAGGGCATTTTGAGAGTTTCTGGGTCCCAGACTAGAATCAAGGTACAGAGCTCTTACTTATTCTTTGAAAATATTGAAAGGGATGAGGGAGCATGTTGCTGGAGCAAGGCTCCAACAAGAGTCAACTGAGACTGCTTGTCGTTCTTCTCTGTACTGTTAGAAATGTCCATCACTGCCAAATCTGGGAGTATCTGCACTGGCAATATCTGCAGTCTTTTGACATAGTGGGTTCAGCTGTAGAATATAGAATGTGTTTTGAGGCATGTAATACTTCCTTAAATTATTATTTCTAGAGCCTGGAACAGAAGCTAGAAAGGGATTTCTATAGCGGCCTTTTCCGCTGGGATGAAGTCCACCAGAATGATGTATCTGGGCTGTTGAAAAGATTCATTAGAGAACTGCCTGCCCCATTGCTGACAGCAGAATATCTTCCTGCTTTTGCTGCTGTGCAAAGTAAGTTCCTCTTTGGCTGTTTTATGTTGTTTTTTGGGGGGGTTGTGCTTTTTCTTGGGCTCTCCTGTCAGGTGTGCTGTTAGCATGTGGATTTGATGGGAATACAGAGCAGGGTATGCACTGTTACCATATGAACTCACTTTGTGAGATGTGACATACTATTGCATGTCTACCTCAGAGTCTTTGTTGCTCGTGCTTGGGTATATACACAATTTTTATGCAGGAATACTGTCCTAAACAAATTACGTTGCTTCACTTGAGGCTGCAGTGTTACTGCATAAATTAGGCTAACCTGATAAACAGGAACATGAAGTCTCAGCTGTGACAACTGGCCAGAGTCCATGATCTTGGTCTGTCAGCAGCAGTCTTTTGCAAGTGCCTTATTTTGAGGTATGTCTTTGATAAGGGATTTAAATGTGTTCAGCCAACTGAGCACACAACTTAATAAAAAGTAGAAGGTGAAGTCCTTTGTTGAGCTGTTGGTAGACTGTGTACTCTAAAGCCATTCAGTCCTCTAGAACACAGATAATTCACTCCATAAGGGCTGTATGAGCTTAATTAACTTCTAGGATTTGAGGTGCTGTTTTATAGATGAAAAACACTACCATAAGTAATTGCCTTATCCCTGCTCTCAGCCTGTGACTTGGAAGCACAGTTCTGTTTTCAGTAAGAGCCTCATCAGAAACCTGAATCTTGTTGCTTTCCCTCTGTAGATATTCCAGACCTGAAGCAAAGGTTGCAGGCTCTGAACCTCCTGATCCTGATTCTGCCAGAGCCCAACAGAAACACTCTAAAGGTCAGTCTGCTTATTCTTGGTTTACAGAATCACAGAATCACAGAATGGCCAGGGTTGGAAGAGACCTCAAGGATCATGAATCTCCAACCCCCCTGCCACATGCAGGGCCACCAACCTTCCCACCTAATGCTAGACCAGGCTGCCCAGGGCCCCATCCAATCTGGCCTTGAACACCTCCAGGAACGGGGCATCCACAACCTCTCTGGGCAGCCTGTTCCAGCACCTCACCACTCTCTCTGTAAAGAACTTCCCCCTGACGTCCAACCTAAATCTCCCGTCCCTCAACTTCAAACAATTTCCCCTTGTCCTGCAGTTATCAACCCTTTCAAAGAGTTGATTCCCCTCCTGTTTGTAGGCTCCCTTT